CTGCGGGCGGGCCGGCGGTGGGCCGGGTGGAGGAGGGGGGGCGGGGCGTTGTCTCTCCGCGCGTGCCTGGGGCGGAAAAGGGGGCAACGACATGGGGGGGAATCTGGTTTCGCCCGCTTTTGTTCCGTCCGCTCTTGTTTCTTCCCCCCCTGTTGTTCGGCCCGCTTTTGTTTCGCTCGCTTTTGTTTCATCCGCCTTTTGATTCGTCCACTTTTCTTTCGTCCGCTTTTGTTTCGCCCTGTATTGTTTCGCCCGCCTATTGTTTCGTCCGCTTTGGTTTTGCCCGCAATTTGCTTTGCGTGTTTACGTTGACACTTCACAACAACTGCTACAACTGGTCGAATTACCATCGGGCGCATTGAAGCTGGGCGAATGGGAACCGGGCGAATTAAAACCGAACGAACTAAACTCGGGCGCAGTATCGCCCGGCGAATCACAACTAAGCGAATTCCAACTGGGCGAATTATCTCAGCATTAAGTCAAACGGATGTATATATATATATATATATAAAGTCATTATCCCAAGTCGTTCAGTTTATATATATATATATAAAAATATTTTTTAGTATCAAAAAAATAGTTTTTAATATTATTCATGGTTTTTGGTGATATATATGTATATATACGCACAAACACTGATCGAAATCAAATTCTGGCGGTTTACAACCGCACGAATTGAACACCTGGTAAATAGAACAGGTTACACCGGGCGAAGCTCTTTTCGGTCGATTCGAAGGTGATCGGCTCGAAAGCGGGAACGATAGGTGGGTTTGCCGCGGGGTTCCATCAGCCGGTGCTCGTGACAAGCGCGCTGACCAGTCTCCATCCTCTTTGTCTTCCTCTCCCTTTCTCCTCTTGTTTCTTCTGAGGGAGCTAATCTACTCATCCCGCAAATAGGGTTTCGGTTGATTCTTCGTTGCCTTGTCGTTTCGCTGAGCGCGCGCGGCTGTGTTGCGGTATCCTTCCTTTGTAATTTGCGCTGTGGACAAGAATGGTCAAGCCCAAGCGAAACGCTCGGCCTGGTTGGCGGACGTGTTTGGTGGAGGCACGCGGGCACAGTTTGGTTCAAAGTAACGCAACACGATCCTCGATACTTTTTGCATCGGCCCACTTTGATTCCGAGATTTCGTGGTGTCGGGGAGTGTGCGGAGGACTCTCGGCTTGGGCCCCTTCAAGGATATTCGCAGCGCCGACTATTAAACTTCGAAGGGGCTTGACATTCCTTTCGTTGCGGTTGTGCTCGTTTTGTGGTCTTTCGTTGTCTCCTGTTTCGTTTTGTTCTCTTTCATTTCGCTCCCTTTCGTTTCGTCTTGTTCCGATAGTTCGTTTCGTTTTCTCTCGTTTCGTACATGTTCGTTTGGCCCTGTGTTGTTTCGTTTGTCGTCGGTTCGTTTTACTTCGGCTTGTTTCTTTCGCTACGTCGTATTTCGTTTCGTTATCTGTTGCCTCGTCGTCGCCGCGTCTGTGAGGAGACGGGGGGAAACAACGGTGTAATTTGGTGTCGCTGCTGTTCTTGGGCCCGTTAGCGTCTGCTGGCTGTTGCTTCGTCCTCTCCTGTTCCATCCGCTTTGGTTTCAGCCGCTGTTGATTCACCCGCTTTCGTCTGGTCTTGCTTCGTCGCCCGCCTTTGTTCCATTCATGTTTCACTCGCGCGGTCAAGGCGCTTGAAGCGCTCTCTGGTTGCCTGGGGGATGTCTCTCCTCCGGGGGAAGTTTGCGACGGACTCAAGGGTCGCGCAAAGAGCGCCCGCGAGATGTGGGAATCTGGGCCATGGGCTTCTGGGAGTTCCAAGGATATTTGCATTGCCGATTGTAGAGAAGTCGGATGAACTTGGGGTTCTGTTCGTTTGGGGTGCTTTCGTTTCGTGGTCTTTCGTTGCCTCCTGCTTCCTGTTCCTTTTCGTTTTGCTCTTTTGCTATCGTCCTCGTTCGCTTCGTGTTCTTTCGTTTCGGTTGGCCCTGTATCGTGCCGCTTGTCGTCGGTTCGTTCTCTTTCGTGTCGTTCTCTGTGATCTCGTTTGCGCTACCTTTCGTTTGCGCTACCTTTTGTTTCGTCTTCTCTTGTCTCGCCATCGAGTTTGTCAGGAGACGAGGGGCCTTCTGTATCAAAAGCAACGGTGGCATTCGGTGTCGCTCTTGTTCTTGGGCCTGGTGTAGTCCATTGGCTGTTGTTTCGTCCACTTCTGTCTCGTCCGTGTTGGTTTCATCTGCTGTTGGTTCATCCACTTCCGACTGATTCGTGCATGGTTGTCTGGGGGATGTCTCTCCTTCGGGGCAATCTGCGACAGACTCGAGGATCTCGCAAGAGCGCCCGTGAGATTTGGACATCTGGGCCGTGAGCTTCTGGACCGTGCAAAGGGTATTTGCAATGCTGACTGTCGAGAGGTCGGAGGAACTTGGGGTTATGATGGGTTTGTTTTTTCTTGTCGTGGTCTTTCGTTGCCTCCTGCTTCGCGTTGTTCTCTTTCCATTCGTGTTTTTTCGTTTCGTGCTGTTTCGGTTTGTGCGCGTTCGGTTGGCCTTGTGTTGTGGCGTTTGTCGTCGTTTCGTTCTCGTTCGCGTATGCTTTGTCGTTTCGTTGTCGGTCGTTTCCGTTACCTCTTGTTCTGTCCTCTACTGTTTCGTCACCGAGTCTGTGAAGAAACGCGGGGCTTCCTGTATCAAAGGCAACGGTGGCATTCGGTGCCACTATTGTTATTGGGCTTGTTGGCGCCCGCTGGCTGTTGTTTTATCCGCTTCTGTTTCGTCCGCTTTGGTTTCATCTGCTGTTGGTTCATCCGCTTTCGTCTGGCTTTGCCTCATCCGCCACTGATTCGTCTGAATTTGTTGCACCGGCTTTTGTTGCATCCGCTTTTCATTCGCGAAGGCTGGGGCGTCTCACAGCGCTCATGGCTGTCTGGAAGGCGCCTCTCCTTCGGACCAACTTGAGAGGGCTGAAGGATCGCGCTAGGACGCCCGCGAAATTTGGGAATCTGGGCCGTGGGCTTCTGGGAATTGCAAGGATATTTGCACTGCTGACTGTGGAGAAGTCGAGAGGACTTGAGGTTCTTTTCGTTGCGGTTGTTTTCGTGTAGTGGTTTGTCGTTGCCTCCTGCTTCGCGTTATTATCCTTCGCTTCGGTCTTTTTCGTTTCGTCCTCTTTTGTTTCTTGCGTATTCGTTTCGCGCACGATCGTTTGGCCTGGTGTTGTGACATGTGTCGTTGTTTCGATTTCTTTCGTGCATTGTCTGTCGTTTCGTCGTCCCCCGTTTCCGTAACCTTTTGTTTTATCCTCTGTTGTGCCGTCGCCGAGTCTGTGAAGAAACGGTGGGTTTTCTGTGTGAAAGGCAACGGTGGCACTCGGTGTCATTGTTGCTCTTGGGCCTGCTGGCGCCCGCTGGCTGTTGTTCATCTGCTTCTGTTTCACCCGTTTTGGTTTCATCTGCTGTTGATTCATCCGTATTCGCCTGGCTTTGTCTCATCCGCCCTCGGTTCGCCTGCATTTGTTTCGCCCGCTTTTGTCTCATCCACTTCAACTTCGCCCGCGTTCGTTTCATCCGATTCTGATTCGCCTGCTTTTGTGACTCATCCGCTTCTGGTTCGCCCGCTGGAAGCCAGAATGGGCGATTCGAAGCGGATGAGTTGCAGCGCGGGCGAAGTGAAACAGGATGAATTGAAACTCGGGCGGCTTCCGCCTGGATGAAATTGAATCCGGGCGAATCGAAGCGGGCGAATCGAAACAAACGGTGTCAAACCTGGGCAAACTCGAATCGGGCGAACTAAACCGGGCGAGTCACGCCTGTATGAACCCAAACCCGGGCGACTTCAAACACCAAATCCGCCGGCCCCGTTACGGGGCCACCAGGCTGCGAGGGTGGGGATTGCAGCTCCCCGCTCCACTTGCACTGTCCAGTTTCCACGGTTACAGTCCTGATTTCTGCTTCCTTACTGTTAATTGCCCTGACCGCGCGAGGCGGAGGAGCTCCAAACTAGTTCGTTTTCTAAACCGCGCCCAGATCGCGCTGCCTGAATTCCTGGGGGGGGGGGGGGCGTGGGACACGCAAAAATACATTGTATTCGCGTGCCCGAAGCCACAACCCCCAATGGATTACGCCATATTCGCATCCCCGAGGCCATACATCACCGTGCATTATGCAATACTCGCGTCCCCGAAGCCATAATCCTTTGCAGATTGCACAATATTTGCGTCCCCGAAGCTATACACCCGCGTAGATTACAAAGATTCGTGCCCCTGAGACCATAAACCGATGTAAATTATAAAATGTTCGCGCCCACGAGGCCATACACCTTCGAACATTAAGCAAGATTCGCGTCCCCAGGGCGGAAAACCCTTGTAAATTAATTGCACCATGATTGCGTCCCCGAAGCCATGAATCCTTTCAAATGATATGAGATTCGCGTCCCCGAAGCCAACTGCACCAAGGCCAGGCGCGCGGCAACCGCGGCCTCCTTCGCGGTCCTCTCTGCCTGTAGCGCCGTCCTCCTGCGGCGCCTTCTCCTTGCCCTCGCGGTGTCCAGCTCGAACGAAGCGTCTGCGTGCAGGCGCGCGCGCAAGCCTCCGCTGATCGCGGCGTCCACGGGGAAGTCCATGAAGGGCCCCGCGTCACCGAAAACGCTATCCGCTTGCTGCTGCGCCACCCCCTGTTCGGCCCGGTCGACTTCACCCCCTGTTCGGCCCGGTCGACTTCTTCAGTGCGCTCCGCGGCTACGGGGGGCGAAGGCTCGGCAACAACCGCGCGCGCCCTCGCGCGCGTGCGACGCCTGATCTTGGGAGGAGCTACGGCGTCAGCTGAGGGTTCTGGGGGTGATTGTGAGACCCATCGCGGCTGGGCCGCCGGTCGCTTCAACGCCGTCTTCTTCCGCTGTTGCGCGGGCTGTGGCGGAAGCAGGGGCTGGCCCTGCGGCTGCGTCATCTCTAGCGCCGCGCGGGGCCACTCGTCGCCCCGCGGCTGCTCGGGAGCGGCGGGTTCCGGCACCTCCTGTTTGCTGCGTCGGTTTCCA